AGCTCTCGTCCCCGCGTCCCGGCCCGCTAGGCGCCAGGCCCGCGCCGGGGCATGGACGAAGGGAAGATGGACGAGAATGAATGGCGGTACCACGGTGAGGGCAACAAGAGCCTGGTGGTGGCCCACGCGCAGGTGAGCGAGGGCGGTAACGCGGTTCCAGGGGCCTCGGCCTGCCCCCCCGGGCCGCGGGCACCCCGGGCCTGCCCGGTAGTCTCTCCAACTGGCCGGCCGGCCTCCTGTCCCCCGAGAGTGCTGGACACCCGGGCCGGTCTGCGCCCCGGAGCCCCTCCCGCGGCCGGACCCCGCGTCCCCGCCCCGGCCGGTGCCCTGTGCTGCCCAGTGTCTTCGTCCCTCCCAGGATCGGCCTGCTCTCCCCCAGCAGCCCTCTCGGGCGGCCGGTCCCCGAGTTTCCCAGTACCCCACCCTCGCCTGCGTCTGTTCCGCGTCCCCACCCTGTCGGTGCCACGCGCGGCCTCACGCGGTGCGGCCCCCAGCCGATGGCCTGGGGGCCTGCCAGGCCGCGGCGGGGCGGAGGCTGAGCCTGGACCGACACACCGGCATCTCGCGATGCTGTCGCTCCCAGCACCGAGGGAGTTCAGCCTCAGGAGACCACGGATTTGCTGTCGTCCTTGCTGCTCCTGCTGTCGATGACACTGGGACTTGCCTGCAGGTTCTGCTCCTGCAGTCTTACATAATTTAAGGTGCTTCCCTGCTTAATTCAGCAGGGGTGAGAGGTTCGGGAACTGCAGTAAGGACCCCAAGAGTAAAGGCAAGGGGAGTGTGTGGACTTGAGTGAGGTCCCAGATCTCTTTGACATCGTGGTATCTGGTAAAACCATGCAGGACTGTGGTGGGCCTGAGAGGTGGAGTCCAGGCTGGACAGGTGTCAGGTAGGAAGGGATTAGAGGCAGAGCTGGTGAGCTGGGTGCTGGGCCAAGGCTCAGGTCTGCTTTTGTAAAGTAAAACTACCCTAGTGATAGAATTCACTTTGTGAAATTGCTGGGAAGGTCTAACCAGGTATGTCTCTCAAAGTGCTGTCATCCCTGCAGGAAAAGGGCGCTCAGAGAGGTCACGCTCTGCTCCTGTCCAGCAGCCCCACCCTTGCCGCCAGCCTAGCTGCTCTGGTCTCTGTGCGCTGTACCCCTGTCCGCTATGTGGGAAGCAGCAGTCCCCCAGGCGGCCCTCGGTTCTCCCTTCGCGTTTTGTTACTGTGAGCACAGACCGAGAGCTAAAGCACTGAGACTGCAGGCCCTGCTTGAGGCCTTGATGTGGATGGATAATGCACAGGTGACCCTGAAGTCATCTTTCTCATGTGTAATGTGCTGGCCTTGTTGGGTTTCTCAGCTGTGGAGTGAGGAATGTTCCAGGGTGAGTCCTGTTGGGTTCCTGTGCTGGCCCTCTGAATCCTTTCCCAAAACAAATACTCATCTTCCAAGTCCTTCATGAGATGGATGTTGTATTTTTACATTTTAGACTTTGAAAGTTTGCTGAATGTTGTTTCAAAAGTACTGGCAGATGGGTCCGGCTGTGGTGGTGGCAGAAGCCTGCTGCCTCAATGCTGTGCTCTTCAGGCCAGTATCACCTGGAGCCTGGGTTCAGTTTCCAGTCCAACCTATGGGCCATGTGCACCTGTAATCTCAGCAACTCAGGAGGGGCAGGCGGAGCACAATAGTTTTTTCCTTGCAAAAGGGAAAAAAGGCAGAGGCAGACGAGAGAGCGAGTCCCAGGCTCAGCACAGAAGATCACCCAGGGATGGAAGACCAGAGACTTAGTGCAGTTGCCTCTAGCACCTGGATTCCTTTTCTGTCCCCGAACAGGCATCTTCAGGGCAGCCTGGTCCCCTCCCTGTTGCATAGCTGCAATCGTTATGGTTGTGGGGTTTTTCCTTCTGCCTTTTTAGACTTATCTACAGCCATGAGACTGTCCTGGACCTATGTTGGTTTGTTCTGTATTTTAATCTGAACTTGGTT